ACAAATGCTCCTGAAAAAAATTCATAATTGCCAAGCATGGTCATTGAGATACATTCATTGTATGGTAAACCATCAGGTATATATTAATTAATGAGGCTCCATGAATCAATTAGTGCAGGGTTCTTCTGACCTGGACCTCGATTCCAAATCCAGGCCTTGTTTTCAGTTATTGTAACAATTACTGATTCTGATTGGCCAGAGGTTTCGCACCTGACTCTCAGGTAAAGGAAGGTTGGAAAATCAGCAGGGCACGGACCTTGAGGACCGTGATTTGAATAGCCCTGTATTAGTGTGTCAATTATTGGAAATACTATTGTATTTCGACTAGGGGTCCAATGAGAAAGAGGACGGGTCTGTAAAGCTGATGTCTACCACCTTGCCATCTTCATCAACAATGCATTCTGAAATATCTTCTTTGCTGCATCATAATAAGGGTAATTGACCTGTTATTTTTATGTAAATGAAGTATTTACACACTGAGCAGATAAATTACCCCAATGAACAACCGTTTATTACCGTACAATATATATATATATTTTTTTTTTTTAAATGACTGAAATTCATTTAATATGGAGAGAGTTTTTAAGGATAGAAGGCCATGAATATAATTAAAAGCACCACTAAGAATGTACTCTACTTTGCGTAGTACCCAACCGAACAAAAAAGAGGAAAAACAGCCATAATTATTTTATTATCATGTCAAATTAACTATAGAAACCTATGACTACAAGCAATTATTTCTGTGAACCTACACTGTTGTGTAATTTCAAACCTAGTCAGCTTAATCATGTTTTGATATTTCCTCAGCACTTTTGTCTGCGATTTAATTCATAGATTATAAAACCAATTATTTTCCCAACTACATGATATTTCTTGATTAATGCTGAGAATAGAGGCATTGGAGCAAAATAAAGTTAATGTCTGGTGTTGGTTTGCCCGTGCTGATCCTTCCCCTTAACCAGCCATCTGGGAGGCTGCATTCCATGTACTTTAGTTTCATAGTTTTGTGAAACACTTACTATTTCACTGTTTTGCTTCCCTACACTTAATTCACTGGGTGGGATTTCACACATATGGACAGAATACGTTAAAATTATTTGCCCAGTACTGTAATGCACCAGTCTGCCTTTGCAGAACATTAATGGTACCCAATTTTACATGTAGTTACATTATTATTTTAATGGCACACCAAAGCAAATGTGATATTTGCAGTTATCATATTTTAAATTCAAGATAACTTTCTCAGTCCAGGAACATTCCGTTTTTCTGACATTGTTGCGTGTCACAAGACTTCATGGTCACCTACATGAGGATGTCAGAGCTGCGGTCCTGCCCACCGGCACTGAGGTCACTTTCTAGTTTCAGTACTATTTTGTTTTCATTCACATTTTCCTCTTGGAAATAGAAGGCCGGTTAAATCCTGTTCCAAAATGTAACGCATTTTTCATAATCACGGCTAATTTTCAATGGGAATGTACATAATTTAATGAAAATATACTAATAAATATAATGATTCAAGATGTTTAATGTCTAGCAATAAATTCTGAATTAATATATTAACAAATTACTGGGGTTTAGGCCTGGACTCAAATGATTTGCGAAATCACTTAGCTACCTACAGGTAGTGCATCAGAACTGGCGATCTCGGTCCAGTCACACAGTCAGGTACAGGTCACATGACCTTAAGGTTAATGCTGGATCCATGGAATTTTTTGAGATATCATTGAAAAACAAGACATGATTAAATTTCATGAAAATGTTGCTGTGGAACTGGAAATCTGTTTAGAAAAATGAATAACCACAACATGTGTTTCAGTGGAAATCATTCACTGCAGCCAATGGTAAACAATGTCTTTGCCTCCAGAGCCTGAAAGTTTGAAATGAAGCACACATACAAAACAGTACTTTTACAGCAATTTTAGCATTCCATCTGTTTATGTCGTGTTTTTTTTTCTCCTTTGCGTTTGGACCATTCATTTCTACCATGTTTTTCCCTCCAATATTATCACTGAGGAGTGTTAGATTCCATCACAAAAATATACCGTCATTGTCTTTCCAGGCCAAGCTGTTATTTTAAACCACCTTTTATTCAGATGTGATCATAACAGGACTTGGCTGGTGGGGCCTGTAATTTGTCCAGTTCTAGGCTCATCTACTGCTCTGTTTAGCATGACTCTGTCCAAGTCTCCATGTGGTTCCATCCTCTCATTGATTCACACACGGACTCACTACCTGGATAATAACTCCCTGTCCCGACCCCCTCACCTCTGCCCATGCCTCTTTCTGGCTGCATCCACATTTTTCACATTGTTTCTTTTTTACCTGCTTAGAAACTACTAACAATGTCTGCAGCTGACCAGTAAGCACACCCATAAATGCTGCCATCAATCCCCATTTCACCTGGGACTGGTGAGGTGAGCTAACTTGTCTTAGAATTGCCAAGCCTGTTAATGTATAATTTTTCTGCATTAATTTCATCCTAGGCCCAGCCAGGTAGGCATACAGCTCGCAATAAATTACATTAATAAAACATCCATCCATTTTCTCTACCCACTTTGTACTATGCAGGGTCACTGGGGACCAGTGGCTGTGTTGGGGGCTATGGGCACAAGGCAGGGAACAACCCAGGATGGGGCAACAACCCATCACAGGGCACAAGGCAGGGAACAACCCAGGATGGGGCAACAACCCATCACAGGGCACAAGGCAGGGAACAACCCAGGATGGGGCGCCGACCCATCGCAGGGCACAAGGCAGGGAACAACCCAGGATGGGGCAACAACAGACAGATCATGCTTCTGGATTGCGAGGTACACATGGAGTCTGGGTGGAAACTCAAACTCTGGTTCCAGAGGTGTGAGGCAAAAGTGCTAATCACTGCACCACTGCCCCAACTAATAGACAGCTGAACTGTAATTTTATTTGTCTCCAGGCACACATGCAGCATGGAGTGATATACAGAGTGATGTCTGCAGCTATATGCATCATAGGTGTGGTGCCTGTTCAGGACAGCTGTGGAGAAAAAATCAGAACCCTCCAACCCCCATTATCTATGCATATCAATTGCTAAGTCGTCATCAAGTGTCACATTCATATATATGCACAATATACAGTATGAAACAGTAATTCCCATAATGTTCACAGTTCACAGTTCATGGTCATACACTGAAGTTTTCAAAATAGCTTTGGCAGGTAAGTCTCAGATAGTCCCTAACTCAACCACAAGTAGCTGGGCTAAGTCTCTGTGCCTATGGTCAGAGGGCCAGTTCAAGCCGTGGCCTCGACAGAACAGTTATGCATCTATGGGCCCTTGAGCAAGGCCCTTAACTGCCAGCTCCAGGGATGTCGCATGTCAGCTGACCCTGCGCTGTGACCCCCAAGCTATGGAGAGCCAGATGGGTCAGGCAAACACAGGTATCCCAGTGTGCCTGTCAAACTTGTGTAAATGAGAAATACAGGATTTATCATTTAGGTGAGAGCAAGTTTGGCAGCATAGGGCACACATGGAGCTGGTGGTTAAGGTCCATGGACATCTGGCTATTCAGACGAGGCTGGGCTCAAACTAGCAACCTTCTGATCACAGGCAAAGAGGCTTAACCCACTAAGACACACCTGCTCCCAGAAACATACAGTGGCTCTCCTTCTGCATCTAGTTATTTGAGTCCTAATATGGTTTTGACACACTTGTATGTATGGGCCGAATCCATTGCTTCAGCAGACTCCAAACCAGAGACACCCAACTCTCCCGTTGACAAATGTCAGCTACCTCCTTTGTATAGAACACCTATCCTTCCAGTGCAGACGGAGTCCAGTGAAGTATGTCCCATGTCTACACGCCTCAGTCAACTACACTCTGGGTTTTGAGGTTTGGCTTGGTGCCATGAGATTAGCATGCAATTAGCATTTCTGAAGCCCTAGAGGCAGTACTTGTCTTTAACAAGGATATCTTCATCAGACAGCAAATGTGCTTGTGCAGCTCCATATCTGAGAGTCAAAGGTAAAACAAGAAATGTGAAAATGCAGCAATAAATAAATACAAGCAACATGAGGTGAAGTTTGAACAAAGTAACCATGATTCATCCAAACTGACAAAATATACTCAAAACATACATTTACGTACTGTATATCATTGTCTGTCCTCTAGTGTATCTGGATCTATGTCATAATTAAACATTACAGCTAATTAAGCATTTTTAATGAATCTGAACTTCCCATTTTTTATTATTTTACTGGACCAATCACAAGGCCCCTGGGCTGTCTTACCTTTCTAAAGACGTATGTAATGCTGCAAATTAAATCAAATGGCTGTTCCACAAAATACAAACAAATAAATAACTAAAACCAAATAAAGTCGTTGAAACTTATTAATCCCCTGGAGCACACAGGGTTACTTTTATGTCATCTGCCGTAAACACTTTATCAGAGACCACTTTGAAAGCATTTATGTTTTATGCACATTCCGTGTGTGGGTGGGTGCGAGGTGGCATGGGGGGGGGGGATTATTTGTTAAAGTGAATGTCATCTCATTTAGTTGTGCTGAGACTGCAGGCTGATACCATCATGGTGCCCGGCTCAGTGGCTCTCTGCCAGACGCATTGTTCAGCGGCATCCTTTCCAGATCTCAATCTACAGAGAGCATTTTCTCAGTGCTTTATTACATGGCGTGTGGCTGAGTGATACCATGCTCTGCTTGCCTGTCTCCCCCTGCCCATTTATAATGCCATTCCTCAGCTGGGCTCTTGCATACTGAGTGACGGGGACGCTTACGTTTAGCCTGGCCTCCGTGCCATTCTATTTTTAGAGATGAAGGGAAATACAGATGAGGTGACCACAGTGAAGGCAGTGGCACTGGACCACGAGTGGCCTGAATGAGCCGTGTGCTGCGGCTGTGCTCCGCATGTTTCTCCTTCCGGCATGTTCCGTCACGAAGGGCCGATACACGTCCTGCTTTCCGTTCTGCACCTCAGATATCGACGTTATATAATTAACTGGGAGCACAGTGCTCCTGCAGGCTCACCTCTGTGCCACAGTGCACCTTAATCTCAGATAAATACAGAAGAAGCTCCTGTAGAGCTGCATGGTTTTAATCTCACACACCGGCAGGTTACTTTCAGGTAAGACAGGGAGGGGTCTTCCTTCCTGTTCTCTGACAAATAGGAAGAATTAATATAATTACAATACAACTTAGCGGGTTAACTGTCCAGCAGCTACTTGTGTGCATCACTAGACTGCACATAATTAGTTGCCCATCAGATTAGTGACACTACAACTAGACTAAATAACAACCAGACTAGTTGTTTGCAAAGGGAACCACCTGCTATAATCAATGTCAGTTTGACTCAAATTTGAAATCACTGACATGCTGGTTAACTTCTTTCAGCATAGAATACTGTAAGTCTTCCGCTGCGGTCAGTGCCCTGTAATCAGAATACAGACATTGGTGGTGTGATTATTTGTTTGAAAAACCCTCTGCTCGTTTTTTATCAACAAAGGTGCTCTTCTGAGTCATTTTCAACAGGTATGTTCCAAATAGCCCTTGTATTCTGGCAGAAAATAAGCCTTTTGTGTTGGTTTTTCCAGTCTGTCTGTCCCCTTTCTTTATATTATGCATAGCTACGAACAAAATGCTAACACACAGTGACACACTCAGGAAATAAGTTTCTCTTTCTCCCCTCCGCCAAACACACATAAAACAGAGAGAGAAAGAGAGAGAGAGAGAGAGAGAGAGAGAGAGAGAGAGAGAGGTGATGCATAATACACACATCCACACCATTCCTTCTAGCCTTTCAGTTGCCAATAGAAATGTTTCCTACTCCAAAAATTGAAATATGATGAAATCAGAAGGAGGAGGCAGTTTTTGGAAACAAATAACAATGTTCACTAATGCTAACGTCACCCTAATGAGTAGAACACAAACCCTGAGCTACAGAATTAGCACCATCTTTAGAATAATTTCCCAACCGTGCATTTCTCCTCTGGGCGAAGACGTTGCTGCGCCTAATAGCTTCCAGGAGTCGACACAGCAGGCCTTTGCGAATGGTCCTCTACCATCTTCTATACCTAGAAAATATGTATGTAATTATGACTGAAAGAACAATTCAAAAAATAGGTTACTCACTGAGAAACCCTTATAAATCTAACTTTTGGTCCTATCTGTTGTGAATCATCCCATGATTAAATGTCTTTAAAGGCCAGCATTGCTTATATCAGATCCAATGTTTTAAGAAAAATCACGGAGTCACAAAGGATTTAGGACCTTAGTGATACACCTTCCATTGTAATTAAACCGCCATCTAACAACCTTTCTGTGAAATCACATGCACTTCAAATGTCATCTATAAGTAAATTGTATTCCTGTTTAATGGTAATGTGATTAAATGACAGTCAACCGCCTATTTCTATATTCTTAATTTCACTCCTGTGAAAATGTCAACGCATTCCAATTAGAATGTAGAGAGGCAAATTTTGGCGACTGAGCTGTCCCACCGAATGCAGGCTATTGGTAAATGTGCAGCTGTCACATGACCGAGGCATCTGCCGAAGCGGGCCAGAGTGTGCCAGAAATACTCCTCATTCATCGTCCAGTACAATGTGCTTATTTATCACCCAAATTTCAATAGTGAAACACACACAATGTGAATGGATACACACCTTTATCACGCACCTTCTGCTTCATGTCTAGGCTTCTCTCTTCATTCACTTTCTTTTCCTAAAATGGCTGATTGCAGGGACATTTTTTATCTAAAAAAAAGACAGCGAGAATATAGACTACATCATGACTATATCATGACATGTTTTTCACTGATATCTCTAAATTTTCCATGGATCCAGAATTAACTGAGAATATATATATATATATATATATATATATATATATATATATTCCCAGTTAATTCTGGATCCATGGAAAATACATATAAATACATTCATATATATACATATACAGTATACAAACACACACACGTCTTTGTGACATGGTTTCCTCGGACACTTCTGCACCTCATCTGTAAGTTCATTGTAATAACATCGCCTTATTGGTCAACTTAAATGTGTTTAGTGCTGGTTACCATAGTGATATAGCCATATACACTGGTTCAAGTCCAAGCAAAAAAGCTGTTTCTGAAAGCTATTTAACACACATTTCCTGTTTTTTTATAAACAAAAATGTAGGATTTTGAGCTATGAATAAAACAATCTGCTAAGCATATTGGAAAGGCACCAATAAATGCTGTTAAATTATTACAATGTCAAAATAAACAGCACTACCACAAGTGCTGTTGGTACTACTAATGGTGATGATCATAATGAAAAACACTTGTGTGCAATGGGTTTGTTATGTTTTGCTTTTAGATTATAGCAAAAACTAAGGCACAAGTAGCTTGGAGATGCCAGTGTGCCAAAGCAGTAGAATGAGCTGAACTGCAGTGCAGAGGTATGCGGCTGCTCCTCCCAGAATGCCTCACTCTGAGCATGTTCATGTTTGCTGGAGAGGACTCAGAGAGGACCGTGACCTGCCAAGTCAACAATGCAGCTCTTCAGTGGGCCTGCCGTGATTACTGCCCCCCCCACCTCCATACACAGGTGCGGTGCCTGGCTTCTCCCAGCCATCTGGGTGGACAGCAAAAATGCCGTAGGTCGCGTGGCTATGTGGAGAGGCAGCCGCGGCATCCACAACACTTCACAGCACTGGGGCTGCTGGTTTACTAGCAAAATTGGTCATTTACATAGAAGTGAAAAGTGTACCTCATATCTGTGAAAATGGATCATGTTTCTGGATTCAGATAGAAATGTGTGTCAGCAAGATTCAAAATAGATGATGAGGCTCCTATCACTCAGTCAAGTGAAGAAAGGACCTGCAAGGCTTCATAAACTCCATTTCTGACTGAATAAAGTAAACTCAAATGCTTAAAGTTTAAATGGTAAAGCATGACAGGCTGCTGTATGTACAGTACCAATCAAAATTACAGCTGCTTTAAAACCATAATTACAAACAGGAGTGGAGATGGGTGTGTTGGTTGTCCCACTGTCAAAAATAGATGAGGCACTGTCATGGTCTGTAGCTGCCTTGCTGGTGATGGAGCTGGTAATCTCAGTGAGAGCTGTGACAGCCAATTGGCATGTCCACACGTCAAAGTCATTCCATCAGCATTATGACCTGCTGGGTGGACTTCCACTCTCCAGCACGATCACAAGCTAAAATGCACTATTATATAAAAGGAAAGTGAAATATAACTCAAACTAATGTCTGGGCCAGTCCAGTCAGAAGACCTTTATCCTACAAACATAATGCTCACGTAGGAACACTGTGCCCCACCAGCTCTGCCCTGCTTCTGCCCAGCTGGCCTTCTTTAACTCTAAATGGTTGATCAGCCGCATTAGGGCCAGCTGGGTTCCATTAACAGGGGTTGGCTGTGGCTACAGGACTGGTGATCAATTGTCAAGGAAATGCGACGTCATGCCAAACTCGGCCCCAGGCCATTTCTGCAGCTCCTGACATAAACACAAGCCCTTGAGCCTGGCTGGGGTTTCATTCCTCATCTATTGCCTTGTATGGAATGAGAGTGCTCAGCTAATTATCAACATGACTGAATGAATGCATAGAGAGATCATAGAAGTGAAGCATTATTCAGTGAGACACAGTCTGCTTAAACGGAAAATGGTGCTTCATTTATACAAACCGTGCAATAACGTAATTCACATGCTCACAGGAAAATCTCAAATATGTCAGCATGAAGCCCCGATTAGGCCATTCTACAAACAAAGTCTTTTATTTCTTTTCATCCTCTGCAAGAATGTGGCTTTAGCACAAATAGGGTTAAACATCAAGGTTCAAGAAACTGATTTTAGACCCAACTGAACTGGTTTGAAAAACAAAGATGAGCAGCCGGGTGCAGAGGTAAGTGATTGTGAAAATGACAGGTAGGGCTTTCCTGAGCACGACTGGACTGGGAGCAGCACGACTTCTCCTGTGCTTACGAGCAACCATCGACACGCCGCCCCAGGTCAGCACTATGCTTCTGCTGCCCCGTGGCCCCTGATTACCAAGCTCCCCCTGGGCCGCCTATTCCAGGTTCGAGCTGTAGACCTTGTTATGGACTAATGAAGCAGCCAGGCGAGCTGAGGTAATCGGTAAGAGGGTGAGAAGCAAAGTGCCGGTCCCTCAGTGCTCCGCCATTAAGCCAGGAAGGAATGAGCCCACCGGGGTAGGAGGGAGCAGACACAAACAGCCAATCAGGCATGGGGGTCACATCCATTGGCTGTCCGTAATGCCAGTCACCAGGTTTTAAATATAGACGGAACCTGCCAGGGCCCAGCTCTGCCTCTTAATGTCCAAATCGTACTCTGGGGGGTGATTGCAGCCCCGCCTCCTTCAACGTTAAACATTTTTTTCTTACTCTCTCAAAATTTTGTCCAGTGTTTTTGTATTTTGATTTATTTTACTTACCGTATTTCTTCCAAAACTTTTCGGGTAGTTTATGATAGAGGTAAGACGTGTGTAAGCAGCAATCCATGAATAAATTGATATTTTAATACATTTTCACAGTGATATTACGAATGAATAAGCAGGAATATTACTCTGTACCTGACAAGGCTCCCGCTCCTCTCTGATTCGGATTTAACCCCTGCCAGTCACTCTGAATTTGCTGAATTTCCTGTCTCAGAACTGCACTTGGTGACCTAAAGCACACAGAATGGGACTCTGCAGTGCCGGGGAGCGTCTGTGTGACGGAAGCTGCCCCCCTGCATGCACGTCGCTTTCGTGCTGGAGCCGCGGAGCTCTGGCTGACTCAGAAAGAGGAAAGCGTGACTCAGAGAGGCAGCACCCAGGGATATGCGCAAGGCGTCGAGGCAGCCAGGATTATCGTTATACTGTACTGACCGGATCCTACAGCCCCGTTTCCGTTTTAAACTCCCACAAAACAGGCGTCTCCTTAGTGAATGATTTGGTTCCAGAATAAAACTCTATAAATCAGCTGGGTTTACCCTTATAGGGTACATTTCCCATGTCCCTGGCAGGCGCAGGGGTATAGGAACCGAGGGGACTAATACCCCCAATATTTAATTTGGCTTCATTCTCCCTACAAGAAAGGAGTGAATAAACGGAATTAAAGAAGAAGAGGTGAAGTTTTGGAATGGTTCTCCAAAAGCTGACGGTGTATCAGGCACCATGTTAGTAAAGCATGCGTGGTTCTAAGAGGAAAGCTAGTGATGTACTACGTGAGTTATAACACAAATATCTGAGGAACAACATGACTGAATGGTTACTTATGGTTAAGGTTACTTATGGTAAAGGATAGGTTGTCATGTTGGGATTAGAGTTTTGCCCGTAGAAATGAATGGAAAGTTCAGACAAAAATTCAAACCTGTGTGTTTGTGTGTGTGTGCGTGTGTTTTTGTGTGTGTGTGTGCTTGTTTGTGTGTGTGTGTGCTTGGGTGTTTCTGAGGTAACTGAAAACCCCTTTGCAGCGGGTGGTAGTTAGAAAATTTGAAAAATACTTTCTGTGTCTGGGACGTAAAGTATGGGAAAAAAAAGAAAAGCTGTAACATTTCAGACATGGGGTGAATTGCAGCATTTTCTGAATGCCAACAAGACTAGGATTCCGTCACATTAACTGTGTGCCTATAGTCGGCAATCCACTGCAGTTTTATAGGAGTGGTTAGAGGCAGAAAGCCATTTAAGGCCCCTGCTCCCCACACACACACACACAGGCCCCTGCTCCCCTCACACACTCACACAGGCCCCTGCTCCCCTCACACACTCACACAGGCCCCTGCTCCCCTCACACACTCACACAGGCCCCTGATCCCCTCACACACGCCCCCGCCCC